CAGAGAGCCAGGGTGAGCAGGGAGGCTGTGGGTAAAATCCCTGCTGGAACAGGCTGGAGCAGAGGGTTGTGAGAGGCCTCTGGGTGGTCCTGTTAAGGCAGAGCCCACACGGTTTGCTGAGAATTGGTGAAGGGCAGGAAGGAGTGAGCCTATACTTGGTCTGAACCACTGGAGACCTGGCTCTGCATTGCGGAGACGGAGGGATGCAAGCTCGGACACTTGGGCATTGTGCTTTGTGGCTAGACATCCAAGTGGGACGCCATTACAGACTTTGGAGCTGGGCGTGGTGGCACGTGCCTTGGGAAGCTGAGACAGGCCAGCATGAGTCACATAATGAGTCCAAGGCCAGCGGGGGCTACATAATAAGACCTTGTCTCCAAAAACCAAATCAGGTTTACTGAGATGTCTCGGCCACTGAGGCTGGTGACCTAAGTTCCATCTCTGGGCCCCACATGGTGGAGGGAGAGAACAGACTCCCCAGAGTTGACCTCTGACCTCCACACACTGGCATCCAAACTCACAAATTAATGAGTAAAAGAAAAACCAAACTATTATTCTTGGGCTGGGGTGGGGGACACACACCTAGTGTCTATGTCCTGCCCCTTGGCGGTGGTCCTCTCTGACAGGATGTGACCAGAATCTCCCGTTTCTCTCTTGCCTTGCTCTCACTTGCTCTGGGGGATGTGTGGTGCTGGGGCAGGCGGGCACTTAAACAACCCCACAGAGAGGCCCTCCTTAGAGGAACTGAGGCCTGCTGCCAGCTGCCACTAAGTGTATGCATTATGCTTTTAATTCTTGTCTCTGGATGTTTGATGTCCTAGGATCCTACAGGCTGGTGGAATGCGGTCCCTCTCAGAACCAGCAGAGGGCTGAGCCACCCTTCACAACAAACCAAACATAAGTGAATCCAGAGAGGCCCAGGGCTGCAGACCTGTGACCCTATTCCTCCTAGGAGGCTGAGGCAGGAAGACTGCAAACCTAAGGCCGTCCTGGGCTAAGGGATAGATTTGAGGCCTGACGGAACAACTTAGTGAGACCCTGCCTCAAAATAAAAGGTAAAAATAGGCCCGGTGGTAGTGGCACACACCTTTAATTCCAGCACTCAGGAGGCAGAGGCAGGTGGATCTCTGTGAGTTCCAGGCCAGCCTAGCCCACAGAGTTTCAGGACAGCTAGGGCTATTACACAGAGAAAACCTGCCTCGAAAAACCAAAATAATAAATAAATAAAATAAAAAGTAAAAATACGGCTGAGGATACAGCTCATTGGTAGAGCACGTGGCTGGAAACTACCAGTGAAAGGCTGGCTTCGTGGTAGAACATTTGCCTGGCACGTGTAAGGCCCTGGGTTCTATCCTTAGTACCACAGACACACACACACACACAAAAGACAGTCCCCATGTTCCAAGCCCACCAACATGGTTCAAAGCAGCAGGCCCAGCCTTTGTCCTTTCTCATATCCTAGATTCTCTGTTCCCTTCCCTGCTGCATTTAGTCCCTGCCCTGTCTTTTCCAGGGAAACCGTAATGAAGACTGGTCCAGCCACTTCCTCACCTGCCACTCCTCTCAGGGACCATAAGGAATAAGAACTGCCTCTTAATGGCATAGTCTTAGATGGATGTGGTGGGGTACTCTCCGGCAATGCTACTGTTCCGGTGGAAGCCTCACCCCTGGCATCCACATACCCAGAGAGTCTGGGATGTTATGGTGGAAGTTCCACCCAAGCCCTCCCCCCCACTCCCTCCAAACCCTGCTGCATCTTAGAAAGCCCGCCAAATGATGACCCCCTCCCCCAGAGATGCTCAGACATA